TGGCTCTCTTTGATCTGCATTGAAAAATGTGCATAAAATCACACTTAATCTACCAGACAGTAGCACCATATGTTTCATAGCAGGAGGAGCAAAAACTCTGCAATAACCAGATGTAAATACTGTGCTCCTCCTGCCAACAACCTCACCTCCAGCAGTGAGAGAACAGCTTAGGCCTTGATGTACGTGTGTACACACACACACACACATATCTGTGCAGAGACATATCTATGTGGTGAAATTCTTTGCTTAATTATGTGCAGCCAAGATTTAGCTTACCTGCCACTTTTGGAGCATTGTCTTTTCCCCTCCCGAGTGCTTCCTGTATGGAACAAACATTTAATTGAAACAGCCTACTTCAGGACAATAAGAGAAAGTCAGCACATTAACATCTGTGCTCCCTGTGCCCTCTGCTCCCATCACACAGAAATGAGAGAACACCAACACTATAAGGCTGAAGTTTTATCATTGACCAAATAATTCCAAAATTAGAGTGTTGTTGATTAGGTTATTGTTGTTCTGAGTTAAGCCACACTGCTCAGTCTGCATTCCCAGGTACCATCAAGCCTGTCTGCTTCTGTTCTGAAGACTTACTCTCAAAAGCTCATGCTTTTGTGAAGCAATCAGAAAACCGTGACATAAAAACAGAACTCTCTCAGTCTCCATATCAAAGACTTTTATTGCACAATCCACTTTGAAACCAATATAGTTCTTAAAGAGTGGATTGTCATTTTAATACTTTTGAATGTGATGAACATGTCTTTTCCACATTTTTGGTTCTCAAAATGCAACTTGATATTAAAACTTTGAATAAAAAAACAAAAACAAAGGTAAAACAAAACAAAAACATCAACTAAAAGCAGGGGAAATCACTTGAAAATTGAAAGAAAGAGTCAACGTTTCATTTCAACTGCACTTAACCAGAATGTATGACAGTATTTGAAGACCATCAACTTACTCTTGTCAACATCTAGACACCAAAGTGAGGCAAGTGACAACTGCAGTATCGTGGTTTAGCCCCAGCTGGTAAACTAAAAATGAGCCAAACACAGTCACTTACGCACTGTCCCTGCATAGGGATGAAGGAATTGCGGGAGGAAAAGTGAGAAAACTTGGGGGTTAAGATAGTCTAACACATAAAGCATAGGGAATGCACACAAGCAAAACAAAACAAGGAATTCACTGTCTACTTCCCGTTGGCAGGCCAGTATTGAGCCATCTCCATGGCCCCATCACATGTAACCATGACTTATGAAAACAAACATCATCACTCGGAATGTCCCTGCCTCGTACTCCCCCAGGTTTATATGCCGAGTATGATACAGTTTGCTGTGGAACACACCTTTGGCCAGTGGGGATCAGCTGTCCTGGCTGTGTTCCCTCCCAACTTTTTATGCACCCCAAACCTCCCCATGATCCGGATGGAACAGTTTGAGAGACAGAAGAGGCCTTGACCTTGTGTAAGCACTGCTCAGCAATAGCCAAAATATTCCTGAATTATCAACACTGCTTCCAGCAAAAATCCAAACGTGATTTTCTCCTACAATGCGGAAAATTTACTCTATACGAACTAAAACCAGTACACAGATTGAGGAAACTTTGTCTGCCAAAGTGAACAGGCTTACTGACATGATAGAATACTGGTGGTAAGAGAGACTCTTCCCTTTAAAATAAATCTAAGGTGCCATCTCAGAGTCAGGACATTTCACTTCATGAAGCATAAGGAAATCAGTTCAGCATAGATTATAAAACTGCTGCAGGAATAACAAACTGATATTTTTTACTCCTGTGCTCTGTATTGGATCACACTAGAAATCCACAAAGCAAGTCTTAAAGTAGCTTCAAAGATCTAAATAAAACACCAGAATGGTCTATAATCATTACCATTTTATTGAATTGGCAGTAGTAATTTCTTGTCAACCACTTCTCATGCTTATGAATAATTTTACTGCTTATTAAATCGTGGACCATTTAATAGTGTACATAAAGGAAAAACACTATGGTTTACACATTATTTTATTCTTTGCTCAGAGAAAAGTGTGTGTCTGAGAGAAGGGTTTTGAATGCATAAACATGAAAGCCAAGATGAATTCTAGCACATGGTCTACAATTCCTAAGCTTTGCTTGTCTCCTGCTAAGCATATGAAACCTAATAACGATAGGCTATGTTTCTAGAAACCAGTACACACAAAGGTGTAGAGTTCATGTCCAGTACAGAAAAATATGATTGTCACTCTCTGTCCAAAAAAAGAATAACATATACAATTTACATAGTGTAAATCAGAAGAAATTCTATTGAGTAGTTGTGTTGCACCCCCAGTTTGAGCAACACATGGCTCATGAATGTGGGAACTCCAAAGTACAAAAGCAGTATCATGAACACTTACCCTTTAAAATGAAGTCCTCTCACATTCTACGTACATTTCACAGAACTTTGCCCCAGTGGCCTTTTTAAGGCCTCCAAAACACATTTGGAACTCAGAGAGGGTATCTTAAAGGGATGTAACAGGATCAGGATTCCTGGCATTATTTGAAGTGTGGTTGGATTAGGCTGTTTGTTACAGAGTGGTCAAGTTAGGTTCTTCCCTTTCCACAGGGGCATACTCGCTCACTAAAAGCACCCAGGTTTATTTTGGATTTCTGGTTGAGTTAGAAAGCAGGGGAGAGCATTATAAAATGCTTCACACGGGGCTAAACTGGGCCAGTCTTGTGTGGATGTTATGTAAATATACATATGTTGATTTGTGGGTGCCATGACCCCCTAGTGAAACACTTGCTCTATTTGTCACAAGCCTTAAACAGCTAATAACACCATACAAGGGTCAAAATAATTCTCTCTGCTGACTTTGGGAGCCACTACATAACTCAAAGAGGTTGACAAGTTCACCATGTCATGAAAATAAGCCAGGCTAAATGTAGTCTCTCCCCTGTAAAATCCAACCTTCTGGGTCTCAGAGGATGTTCCCTCTAATTCCCCAGAGATCTGAAATTCTCCATTCTCCTCTGTTGACTCAGCGTCTCAAAACAAGAATTGCATTACAGGCAGCTAAAGCCTATTCCATCCTTCTCCTTGATAATTAATTAGCTTTTTTCCAGCCAACACCTCTCTAGATAGCACAGCAAAAGCTCAGTGTAGGTGAAGGTCAGCTGACCAATTGCAGTAAGTGAATTTAAAAATAAATAAATAATCAAAGGCTGGTTTGTAAAAGAAACTGAAGTGCTTTATAAATGTAAATAACTACAGTTCTGGAGGAAGTGAAATTATATGAACTCAAGAGAAGCACCTACAGATCTATCTATATCTTAATTTATAAGGTATTTTTAGGACACCAGCCATGGCAGAATGTAAACACAATGTGTACTAATGATGATGCACCTTTGGCTACTCTATATGTGATTTATTAATCCCTCTTCCATTAACATCAGACTATGATCTCACCCTTGTGAGTGTGCCATTTGCTAGAGACAGGTGGACCTCAACCCATTTGGAAATTCATTGCAGATGAGATAATCTCAAAGGATAAGATTTTGCCCTTACTAAAATTAATGCAAAAAATCCAAGAAATTTAATAGGTTCTTAAATTTCTGCTTTAATTTTCTTTTTTTTTTCTTCCATCCCCCTGACTATAGTCTAAAAAACTGTGCCAAGGCTCTCCTAAACCAACTTTTCTTTAAAAATCTTTGTAATTACCAAAGATAAGGAAAATCTCCTTTTTTGTAAGCCACAACTTAGGTTTAAGTCACACTGTTAACAGAAGAAAGAAGACTTCAAAAGAAATACCAACTTTCCCATGTCAAATATTCTCTCTCTCAAACTTAGAAGAGTGCTAGGTTAGATTACTTTACTCTAAAGGTACAGCATCTTCCTTGTTTAACTGTACCAGTCCACCTTCCACTTATGCCTAATCTGTGCTAAAGAATATGCAATTCAAAATAAAATAAAAAGAATATGTAATTCAAAATAAATAAAAAAAAAGCACCATATTCAAGTAGGGCTCCTTGAAGCAGGGTGTCTTGAAAGGGGCTGGAGGGGGGAGAAAGGAATCTCCCTCATTTATGGAACGCTGCTTGCAACATGGGCATTCACAGTGCTTAAACCAAAGGGATAACATTTCCACTGTGGAGATGCTGCACTCAGGCATACTTCAGGTAATGAAGGAACACATCAAGTAAATCCAGTTAATTTGTTTAGATGAGCAGAATGCAATCTCCAACCCTGGAATCAGACAAGTACATTAACGTCAGTAGCTTCTTTATGCCAATAATATCTTGGTCCTACTATCAGCAAGAGAGGCCTCAATGTTTCATCTCCTGTAAATAATACCTAAACAAACCACTCAGCTTCTTCTCTTCCATAGGGGGATTTCTTTCAGACATTATTTTGAAATTATTGTGATCAGTTACTACTAAAAGCTTGAGCTTATAACCTCAGTCAAAGGGACAAATTTCAATAAATTCACATGCTCCACATGGAAATCATTACACCAAGTGCACTTTTGAAGGGTCACTGATAGATATTGCAGATAGATGTGACAGATAGATACATATGAACACATAAATTGCAGCTCATGTACTCTCTGCTGCACCATTGCATGAGCCTTCCCTCCTGTCTCTGCATCTATCCCATTTGGCACGTGGTAAGGATGATATCACAAACATCATCAGTTTTAACATGCACAGACAAGTATCTCTCACTCTGCTACAGCCAAGTAAAATGAAATAGTCAAGTGACTAAAATGGACAGTTAAGGCAATGTTAGAAGCTGACTGATGAGTTCCAGATGCTTTTTCTTTCTGCATAATTTGAAATACAACATTTCCAGGCACTGCATGCCATTCAGTTCTTTTCCATCCAGCTCGATCTTGCATTCTGGAACCAACCATTATGCTAATTATCTCCAAGGGTGTAGCACTCCTGTTGCTTGGTAACACAAGTTTCTTAAGCTGCAGAAGTAGCACTGAATAGCAGGACCCTGGGCTTGGGGAAACCCTTTAGCCACTCCTCACTGGCATGCTCACACAAGCTTGAAGAGCTGCCATTTTCCATCAAGGAAGTACCATTCTGAATTCACAGGACTGTGGAAAGGAAACTGTCCTGTGTTCCATGCTCATGGCTTTATTTATAGACTGAAAGACTAATTCGGTATTCAAAGAAGAGCAGACAGGGGACAACTTCACAGTAACAGCCCACACTACTGAGAAAAACTGAGCACCTTGTGACATCTGCACCTCACCTTCTGGGCCTTTTGAGCTACTTATCCGGTAAGATCATATGCAGGGGGCAGCCTGGCAGAACTGATAAGATGAAACAATGTTTTTGCTTATTTTTGGTGGGCCTTGGTTTTGAAAGTGACTTTGCACTGTGTCATAGTATGGGGGCCCTGAAGTCATCTGGAAAATAAGACTATTAAGAAAGGAAACTTTTCTCAAACTATTCACCAATGGTGGAATTTAGTCTAAACCTGCCTATTTAAGACTGCATTTAAGACAGTCAATGAATTCATCTCTTCCACAACAGTTCATATCCAACAATGAGAAATAGTAACAGGCTTGGGAGCAGGAAAGTGGAACAGTTTGGCTTCATGCAAAATCATTTGCTGTATGAATGCTGGTTTTAAGCTCTGCATGCAAGTATTTCTCTACAGATGGTAGTATCACCTCTTCCATGGGTGAATTAGCACACGTCACCTCACAGCCTTCCTGCCACCGGAGAGGTGCAGGGAATGCAGAGCTCTGCTGGGCTTGCCAGGCCTGCTCTGCAGCATGCAGAGGAAAGACAGAGGAAACTTTTCACAGAGTAGTTCAAGATGGGCTCAACATGGTCCTGTGCAGTTTTGGGTGCAGTGAACTAGGAAGCACCAACCCTGGAAGAAAGTAACAGGCAGAACCACAGAGAAGGAGGTCCTGAAGCACCAAGCAGTGCTACAGGCAGAAGATCAGTTCTTCTCCTTCCTGGGCTGGGAAAGGAAAAAAAGATGTTCAGGGTTGAAATATGCAGTCTTTTAGGATCAGATCTTCTTAGGGCAGGCTTAAGATACAATGGGTTGTGACTGACCCCTGTGCAAGTGCTGAAGCGCAGATAAGGAATAATTCCCAGTCCTTCCTTGCCTCAGAGAGACACTGACACTCTTAGTACTGATGCTCAAGTCTGTTCTATCCCTGCAGCTCCCAGCAACAATGAGCACCACAGACAGCATGACGTCCTTGACACACATTTTCCATTAATTTCTTTATCAGATCAATCTCTAAACTCTGGGCCTGTTAAACGCTCCTAAATCTCTGGGCATTCAAAAGCCCATCCAGGCCAAAGATTCTATCAAGTGTGGATATAAAGGCAAAGGGTTTTCTAGTCAAGATCCATTTTAGTGAGACCTTGTCACAGAAATACAGCACCCTCCACCCTAGGAAAAGGCTTGCCAACAACTCAGAGGGTGTACCCGGCTGTGTTGTTTTCTCTTTTTAGAGAAAACAGGTGGAAAGTCTTATCATCATTTCTTAGGTGTAGGGCAACACATGTACCTCTCCCTCTGCCATTCCAGGAGATGTACTGTGAGTGTAAGTTTGAACAGGCATAATTAACATTTAAGCAAGGAGAACTCCTGTGATTCCTGAATTTTTAATATCAGTGACTATAGGACTAGAGCCCTCTTACACAGAGCCAAAGACAATGAGACATGGCTAAATAAGCTCCATTATCTCCAGCTACAGCCCTGTAAAACACTGATAATTAGTTTACAAGCATGCAGAGGCAGGAGAGCTATTCATCCTCTTCAAGTTCTCAAGCACACTAAAATGTTTCTGCAGTCCTCTAGTACTAATCCCTATTTTTGGAATTGCAAATCATATTTTTCTAAGTTTGAAATATGGCTCCAACTTTTAACCCAAACTAAATAGCACTTAGAGTGAGCACTCCTTAGAGACTTGAGCAGTGCATCTGAGAGGTTCACAGTTGGATGTAAAAAAGTCTGGCTAAAGTAGGCTGTGAGAAGAAACTCTTTGGAGTCTGCACGTTATGCAGTGCATCATAAAAAGAGATCTGTCTTGAGGAAAATCACACTGATCTGTTTGTCTGGACTTCCTAAAAACTTGAAAGGTCCAGGTTCAAGTTTTGTAACAGCTTGGAAAGGGTTATTGACAGAGAAATACTCAAACCCAGCAGGCTGAACTGCAGCACTCAACCTTGTACGCCAGGCTCCCTCTAGTGCTGCCAGGCACGCACAGCGCAGAGGGACCCGGCACCGGGAACCAGGTAGCAGAACACTGCCACAAATGAACGATTCTTTGCCTAGATGGTACTTTGTAAAATAGGAAAAGAAAATATTTTGGCTCAGTGTTTCCCTCTTGGATTTTATATGAAAAGTAATAGGAAAAAAATTATAACGGAATACATTGTTTTCTGATATTTAAACATGTTTTTAAAAGCATTTTATAAGAAATGATAAATTTGAAATTAGGAAAAAATTATTACATGTTTTCCCTTGAGGGTCGAGTTCATTTTTTAAAGGCATACTTGATTGCGAAGCTTCACTTATCAAAAAGCACTGAATGTCTTGGTCACTTCAACACAAAATTCAAGCAAAGAAAAAATTGGACCCAAAGGTCACCTGGTTCATATCAGTTACAGGAGCCAGAAAGTTTCTTCTGCCAGCACGTAAGAAAGCTCCCCTATAGATCTTTTCCTGAAGCATGGTAGTCAACCCACTTCTGTGCACCAGAAAAGACTCAGGGTGTCCACCTGTAATCAGCAGCAGGGCCCTGGCATTCCCCATACTGCTCAACTTTATCTTCACAGAATTGCTAACAAGAATATTGCATAAAATCCTTAAAATGAGAGAGCTGTGATTAGAAAATCCTGCTCTTTTGATGTCCAGAAATTTCTACTCACTCTTGGGGAAATTATTTACACTAACATCAACAAAGGTGGAAAGAATACTTATTCACACTGTAGAGTACTTTGCTTCAGTTACCAGTCAACATATAGATAGAACAGCATTGGTGATGCTGTACTTGGTAATGTGGTTCTGTAAGTACTCATGAGAGACAGAAACATGGGAGTGACAAACAAAAACATTTAACTGTGTTTAAATGTTTTCATATAAAATAACAAAAACCTATTTTGGAATTCACCCTCAGGGCAAGACTGAATCCACTGCACTGCTTCCAGTATTTTCTGAAGCATCTGCCTCATTACAGAGCTCTTGGGAGGGTGTGTGGTAGCTGGGTTAATGCTTTTGCATTATTTTGGGCTATGGCATGTAATTGAAAAGAAGCTGAAATGCCTTAGTTGTAGCTTGAGCTTCCCCTTCATGTATTCACACATGATTAATGAGTAGCCAAAAAGCCTGAAGCGTTTGTAGTGAAGTCTTTCTAATAGGGACATGTATTGTTGATAAATCTATATTTTGTCCTAAACAATCATTCATCAAAGCTGCAATTTGACTCTTCAAAATTAAATGCCAGAACACCCAGACCTGAGATTACTCAGCTGTAACCTGTGCTCCTCTCTAAACTCTTACTGGGTGGACATTGTCATCCATTTCCAGGGAATCAGCCTATTTCCTTTGCCACTAGCCATAATTAACAGCTGTATTTGATGACCTTTGATGAGAAAGAGTTCACCAAACCTGAGAGTAAGTGGGCTATACTCTTATTCCAGGAAGCGTGTAACACATGCTCAGCATCAGTATGAGTCAAAAGTCTACTACACTTATATGCATTTTTCTGAGGGCAGGGCACCTTTGCAGTGGGAGACCCTTTATCCCACAGCATGAACAAAATAACAAGGTTAGAGTATCCAGAGGAGGACACTTAGCAAGGCCTGGTTTAACATGGCATTAAGCAGCACTGACATCAGTCCCTGTTGCAGTTTGCCCTGTAGGTGATTTATGAATTGCCAATCATTCTGGCAAGTGTGGGAGTTCACCATGTTCCTGAATCCTGGTCAAAACAAAATTCTTAATAATTTCCTTTAAACTTTTAATTTTTCAATAACATCCAGAGCCCAGATCTCAAGTCCATTACACAAGAAATTTAACCAACCTGTTAGCAAATGCCAGGCCTGTAATGATGGCGACTGTTGATCTGGTAGAATGAGACAAATTTGAATAGCTTCTTTTAATGCAGTCTCTAAGGACTGTGTTGAGACCCACAATATATTTTTCTCCAGTCCTCAACCGGCTGATGGATAATAACATATTTCATTCAGTTTCATTATATCCTAAGCTCAAATCAGTATTTAGGAATGAAAGAGAGCAAATGTGTCCCACTTGTAATTTCACCCTGTAATGTAACATAGATGTTACATTGCCATGAAATAATATTGTAAATTATTAGAATTTCACCTACTGGAAATACTTTGAGGAAGAATTTTCAGAGTTGAAGATTTTCAGTTGAAAAGTTCTAACCTCAAAGAAAACCAGCTTCAGAAAAGTCTAGCAGCAATATTAACATATATCTGTGTGATTAACAGCTATGGCTTTCAAAGACTTTACTGGAGTTCTCACATTTTATCCACAGGGTCTGGTGTGTCTGTCTGTCAGCAGAGAGATGCCCAAGGCAAAAGGTCCACAAGGGAAAAGGATCACCTTGAAAGTGGCAAAAAATTCAGTCCGGGTACTTTTTAATGGAAGGCGTCGTCTTGAGTTAAGCAAAATGGGCATTGCCGTCTTCCCCAAGTGCCTTCTGGAGCTGGCTGATGTGGAGGAAATTGATTTGAGCAGAAACATGTTAAGAAAGATTCCAAACATCATTGAGAAGTTCCAGAATCTGATGTGGCTGGACCTGCACAGTAATCAGATTGATGAGCTGCCCGCAGCAATAGGCACGCTTCGCAACCTTACTTACCTGAATTTATGCAACAACAAGTTGACCACAAAAGGTCTGCCAGAAGAGCTGACCCTTCTCAAGAACCTGCGTACTCTCAACCTTGGCTTAAACTGTCTTGAGACTATTCCCACCACTCTTGGCTCCCTGAAGGAACTTATTGAGCTAGGTCTCTTTGACAACTCCTTGACCATCATCCCAAAGAGTGTGAAAAAGCTCCCCAAGCTTGAGAGGCTGAATGTAAAAAGAAACCCTTTACCAGAATTTGCAAAGGAAGATGAGCCAATTGACACCATTAAACGCATAGAATCGCTTTACTTAGTAGAAAAGAAAGACCTGTGCAATTCCTGTGTGCAGACATGTCAGGGTGAGAGGGACGAGCTGCACAAGTTAGAGGACATGACACCCGGCCCCTCAGATAAGCCAAGTTTCCCTTCACTCACTACACCCAATTCCACTGCAATAGATAACCAAGAAGAATGGAGAATGAAAGACGACAATCTTTGAAATATACCAAGGCACTCTATAGACCATGTTGCATGAAGTCCAGCCCAAGCAAATAAAAAAACTGATTTCCCTCTTCCTCCATTTTCCTGCAGTTCTGCTTCTTTAAAGATCAGCTTCCTTTTAGAAGCAGATGTCTGTGGTCTCTAGAATGAAAACTAGAGCAACTAAACCAGATGTGTATTTGGAAAAGGCTATTTACATCTGGGCCTGTCCTTACAACTTGTTCTCCATGTTCGGGCTTTTTGCGGTCTTTTGTGTGTGCAGTGTCAGTGAAAGGATCTTTTAAACAATATATTTTTCCAGTAAATCCATTCCCACAACTTACCCCCGAATATTATTTCTGCTCATTTTCATAGGGAGAGACACAGTTGAACTAGTCTCAGTAAATACTATTTGGAAGAAAAGACCTGGGAACCTTCTGCTGCTGGTGGCTGCCACCAAGTTCTCAGAGTCTCAAACAGGCACAGTCAGTGTAGGAACTGCAAGCCTGTTCCAGTTCAGCAGAGGCAGCAAACACAAGTGTTATGCTCAGGAGTAACTAAGCAGTACAAACACAGTGCTTAGAGATAGACAACCAGTGACCCTTGTTGCCATCAAGGGACCATATTCTGCAAGTTCTTTGGGATTTTGAGTGCTATACCCAGGTGCAGCAAGTTGTACCAAATTGTCCAACACATCAGCGTGACTGCCCATACTCATAATGTTTTTCTGACCTCTGAGTCTCTCTCCAAGGAGGATGTAGAAGGGGTAGGAAAAATATTTGTCATTTTAAGGGTACCAGGCTTATCATTTAAGCAGTGAGTAAAGTGATTAAGAGAGAGTCACTGTCCTCCATGATCTGAGTCAGCTTCTGCATTGACAAAGTCAGGTCTGGTATCCCCACAGAACTTTTAACTTCCTGTTGACATGTACCTATGGACATGTGCACCTGAGCACACACATTCCCTTGCTGAAATCACATCCATAGGGCAGAGAGCGCTGACATCCTGCAAACAGCAATATACAGGGACAAGCAATGAGCAGATTATAAAAGCACTCAGGCATGGCATGAGAAGGGCTGGCAGTGGCCATAATAACCTATGGCGACAGCAAACATTTAAGTATATTTGAATGAAGAATAAAGTGCCAGGAGCACTTTATTTTTTAAATGACTACAGTAGAGCCTTGGAACTCCTGTGTATTTCCTATGGACTAGGTGGAAAAACTGATAAGGGATTTCCCAGAAATTCTATTACCTCAATGTCATATGATGCATCAAACTAGTAATTCCTTCTTTCCATCCTTCAACTGTGCAATTATTAGTAACGTGTCTGGGCAAAGAATTTAATTTGGCCTGCCTCCTTGTCTCAGGTATGGCATGAAAAGGTGGAAAGATCTGGAAATTTGCCATTGTCCCCTTAGATGGGGAAGAAGCCCCACATGCTGCTTTTGAAATTTTCTAACTCTGAAACAGCTCCACAATACAAACAAGGGAAGAGTAAACTCATTAAGTCCTCAGTCCATTAGTTCTCATTGGTAAAGGGAAGCACACCTACTGAGGTAATTTTCTCTAACTTTCCACTTTAACACAACTTTTTTGGCTTCACTACTTAGGCAGTGATTATAGTAAATGTTACATTTATTTTATTTCAGTTCATGCTCTGACATGGTCCAACCAAAATGATGACAAAGGCCCTTTACATTCTCAGAGTGAATAAGTTTTGTACAGGCTTCTCTCAGCCAGCGGGAAAAAAAAAAACTGAAGGCAGAGCCTTACTGGAATTCAGGACAGGCTCCTTTAGACAGGCATGCAGCCTGTCTCAGATTCTGACATTAACCATGAGTCAAGTGTTTCTTCCAATAACCACCAGCCCAGTTAATGCCCAAATTTCTTGAAGCTCTAATGCATCTTCTCTCATGACATTCACACCTCTTGAGCTCCCAGCAAGCAGGGGAAAGGAAATCCTAGAGCGAGTTGCTGTTTACACAGGACAGGTGTCACTCTCCACAGCCAGCCACCTCCTCTGGGTGAGGTCAGGCTCTAGCTGGAGCTGGTTCCACATTGCACTGATAGTTTTAGCCAGTTGATGACTGGAGCTCAGTGCTGAAAGTGCTCACTTACAAGATAGGCAATGGTCTGCAACAGGTAGACTGAAAATTAAAATGGGTATAGCTGACACAAGCTGTAAGAACTTAGGGGCAATGTGCACCTCAGGTCTCAACACAATTCCATCCTCAGCAATCATTTCAGAGGACACCAATTAGGCACTTAGGGCTGTGCTCCCCAGATACCTAAATTGTGAAAAGTTACTCTAACTCGTGGAATGCATGAAACATTCTCTCAAGCACCTCCCACTAGGAGAAAACTTTTTCCCTGCAGCAGTAAATCTGAGGGACAAGTTAGAATCTCCATTGTGCAGCTAATACAATGTGCCAAAACATCCATATGTACATCACTGTCGGCCCTGAGCACACAATGAAGAGGTCATTACGCAAAAGCATTATGGATTAACTCTGTCCTCACCTCACTGTCTCTTCCCACAGTAACCCTTTGTGCAGTGTTTATCAATAAAGTGACATGAAGGAGATAATAATTATTAATCATCTATGCACAGTCAGCTTTTTGACACTCATCTTCATACTGTGATGAAGCATGCTAGAATGCTTTTTGAAGTCCTAGTAACACCTTTGAATCTTTAAAAGGAAGGATTCAAATAGGTATGTTTCTATATACTTTTTAAAGGTGCAACTTTTTCACATAATTGTACTTATTACAATTATCCAATGTTTCCTATATTTTACCTTATATTTAGGGATTCTTCTGTTATCCCCTTCGACTTCAAAGCAGGTTGGAAAGAACAGAATCTATAGGAGATATGAAAGGTCACATTATAGTTATGCAAGTGGTTATTAGCACACATTAAATATCTATAGAACTGCTTTGTCCTCACAGCTTTCTTCAGGAAGCCACAGCATTGCACTGAGACTCTAACCTAGGACAAAGCTATAAGACAACAGGCAAAAGCATGCATCTAATATTAAGGAGTTGCTATGGGCTAGATAAAAGAACCCACTCAGACATTTATTTAGCAAAAATGGCAGAAGGACACCAACCCTCATCTCAGCCAATCATATTTACATTTGCTGTGGGTTTATGATGTCAGAGAAACTATACCCTTGAAATATACAGTTTTGGTGATCTTCAGCTGAGGATCAAAACCATGTCTTGAACTGCCTTTGAAAGATTCCCCCAAGAGATACTTGTCAGAACTCAAAGACAGCAAAGTTAAGGGCTGGCTCTGGGACAGATCTTGGTGATTTTAAGTAGCCTTACTATGCAGCCTGTTTGGAAAGGAAGAGCAGATAAATCTGCCCTGACTTTTTAATGTAATACTGCAATAGGATTTGTTCAGAGATTTTAGGAGCAGAAGGAATTCCTGTGATTCTTTAGAAATTGACAGTACCAATGCTCAGTTCAGGCTGCAGAATTTAGTAGAGGAAGCACTAGTAGTGAAGTGAATTTTCCTGTGTAGAGGCCAGTGAATGTAATCCTGATCTAATGGCCAGAACTGCAGTAGGCAATAACATGCAAGAAAACAAAGTGCAAATTAATCACTTCATAGTCTTACATTCAAGTTCCATTTAACAAGACAAGCACATAAGGAGAATTTTTTTAAAAATGCCATTGTTAAAAATTAAGTCTACAAAGATGAAGTCAGAGAGACAAAAATATGTTATTCCTAAAGAATCTAGTGATACTATGAGAGTTGAAAGAAAGCAGGAAGAAACCTTCTTTCATCCAGTACTGTGAGGTGAGGTGGAGGTGGTTCTCATCTCAGTGGGAGGAAGGAAAACAGCTACAGTTAAAATTTCCTGGGATGAAGGGACACACAACACCACTGGCTGCTAGAAAAGTCCCGAACATTACATCCTTTGATAAGTCAATGGCTATGTAGTGCTCCAAAGAGTCCACAGGCCAGCAAAAGAAAAATTTCACAGCTAAAGTGTAACTCATTAAAACTCAAGGGAAAAATGGAAACAAAGATCCTGCAGCAACACAACACAGACACCTGACATCAGGTTAAAAAAGAGTAGTATACCAAGCATCACCAGGAACATCCCATGTTACTGTGAGCTAGTCATTACCTTTTAAATATCTTATTTCGGTCACTGTCATGGAAGACAAGAAATGTGGAGTAACCATTTTTGAAGAATATTTCCAAGGCGATCTCCTGGAAAGGGAAATAATTTAGTATGAGGAGCTGCAGAGCAAAGCCTAGTGCTGCAAATAGTCCATCATAGCCTGTCCAATTTTCAGAGCTTTAAAAAAAAGACCTTGACTTTTTTGACAAATGTGCAGAACTAAAGCAAAATATGTCCAACATTCTAAATTTCTTCAAGTGTTGGGATGGTCCTACAAGTTGACTAGCAGTTCAAACACTTCTTTGAAGCAAAACCAAACTCCAGATACTGGTTCCATCACTCATCTTTTCCTTTTGCTTCTGAAACATTTTTGTCTTGAAATCTCAGTGTGATTAATAAGTCAATAGAAGAATTGAGTTCTAACCAGGTGATAAAGAAAACACAAAGAGGGGATTCTAAATAAGAGTTTCATTTAGAAAGCAACCATACTGCTTGCTAAATTAGGACAGAGCTGAACAGAACTGCCAAATAGTTTCTCCTGACTGTAAGCTCCAAAGGAGAAAGGAGAGTTTATGATATTTTGTGCCAAAACTTTGATGAATTGAAGTTGAAAGAAAACTTCACTCCCTTGTCCCCATCCCCAAAATGTCTCTATACTTTGTTTTGCTGGGCATTTGAATATAATCCTCTTATTTACTTAGTGAGAGGTCCTTTTCCTCCCCAAGTCATTCAAGTAAAACTATAAATAACATATAGTGTCTGGGAACCCAGACATGAGTTTCAGTCCAAATGTGGCAGGTGCAATACAAACCTAGAGAAACATTCTGATGGCAGGTGGCCCATACATGATTCACAAATAAAATATAAAGCAGAAAGGTAATATGAGAGCAGTTATGACAATAAACAGCTTGCAGCATTTGCTCTGGAGCTCAGCTTTCCAAAC